CGGGATCCCTTAAATCCCCCCCCCCCCCCCCCCCTTCCACAGCTTTTGGGCGATAAGTTCCTTTTTTTTAAGCCGTAACTCTCCTTCTTCTGTTACCCCAACGTTTTTATTGTAGCTCTTAGAGATTATTTTTATGACTTTGATATGAAATTATTCGGGAAGTTTTGGGGGTTTTTGTTGAGGTTGTAAAACGACCTTTTTATCAAACTTCTGAAACATTTCACATTGATATATTTAGCACTTTTAGGAGAGATCCGGAGTCACCGGAGGGGGCCCAGTGTGTCCCCAATCGAGGTGATAGAGAGGGCCCAGTGTATCCACTTTGGTGGTCAGAGAGAGGGCCCAGTGTATTCCTTTGGTGGTCAGAGAGAGGGCCCAGTGTATCCACTTTGGTGGTCAGAGAGAGGGCCCAGTGTATTCCTTTGGTGGTCAGAGAGAGGGCCCAGTGTATTCCTTTGGTGGTCAGAGAGAGGGCCCAGTGTATCCCCAATCGAGGTGATAGAGAGGGCCCAGTGTGTCCCCATTGGTGGTCATGGAGAGGGCCCAGTGTGTCCCCATTGGTGTCCATGGAGAGGGCCCAGTGTATCTCCCATTGGTGGTCAGAGAGAGGGCCCAGTGTGTCCCCATTGGTGGTCAGAGAGAGGGCCCGGTGTATCCCCTTTGTTGGGTTACAGAGAGGACCAAGTGTACTCTCCCCATGGTGGTCAGAGAGGGCCCAGTGTACTCTCCCCATGGTGGTCAGAGGGGGCCCAGTGTACTCTCCCCGTGGTGGTCAGAGGGGGGCCCAGTGTACTCTCCCCCTGGTGGTCAGAGAGGGCCCAGTGTACTCTCCCCGTGGTGGTCAGAGGGGGCCCAGTGTACTCTCCCCGTGGTGGTCAGAGGGGGCCCAGTGTACTCTCCCCGTGGTGGTCAGAGGGGGCCCGGGTTTATTCCCCTTTGGCAGTTTCTGCTTGTACCGGCACCTTACCCTAGTGACAGGCGGGACTCCCATAGAAATGTCTGCGGGGGAGTCGGCCGGACAGAACACGTCCTCCATCTTCTTAAAGTGAAACTTCCACCTCAGTGGCAGAGTCCGCTTCTTCAAGGTGCCCCTCCCCCCTGTAAAAAATTACCTGTGGGGGTGGGGTAACCTTTCCCCGACTTCCATCGTTCGGGGGATGACCTCCTCCTCCTCCCGCCGGGATCCCTGGCAATGCTGAGTAGCCCAAATTCCCTGGAAGACGCTGCAGCCATTATGACATG